AAGTGTATAGAATCAATAAAAAATATAAAAAAACCCATTGAAATCACATGGAATATATCGAAGTGAATAGATTTAAATAAAAACTATTATAAAATTAATTTCAATAAATTTTGATTATTTATATATGATATATATATATAATCTGTGAATTTTTTAACTAATTATTAATTTTTTAAAACAAAATTGAGTCAAATTATTTTTTAACCGATTATTATTTTTAAAAAAATTAAGTCAAATTATCTAAAATACACTATTATCTCTCTCTCTCTCTCTCTCTCTCTCTCTCTTCATCGAATTTATATATACAACTACGTTACTTTCATTTAAAAATCGTAAAACTAATCAATCATATAAATTATAATAATATATATATATTTTTAAAACAATCACATTCTTAAATTTTATTTCAAAATCAATATATAAAAAAATCAAATTTATTAACAAATAAAATTATACAAAAAATAAAAAAATTAATTTGATGAGAATTTAATAAGAAACAAACAATTGAAGAAACAAATTTTAAATAATATTATATGTTTAAACTAAAATCTTAAAAAGGATCATATACATTCTATTACCGTCAAATTGTACGTAAAACTAAAAAAATAATAATTTATTTTATCTTTTCATACCTAATTTCATGATAAAAAAAAATAAAAATAAATTATTGAAAGGGGAAAAAAAGGCAAATAAGACTCTTGTGCGTGCCTATGAGCTAGCCTAGGCTTACCTTAGCCTCGCTTCTCTAAGGTTAAGGCCGTCGGTCGACCCTTAAAAAAAAAAAATGCTATAGTAAATAAATAGTAAAAACCACGGATCTTTTAGTTTTTTTTTTTAAATAATTTGTAGCTTTGGCGTTGGTGAGGAAAAAAAGAAAAAAGAAAAGGGAATTATGGGTTAGGCTAAGCCTAACCCATATGGAATCAAGCTCTGGTCGGCCTTAACTCATCCCAATGGGCTTAGCCCATGTAGAACGATAACCAACCGACCAAAAAAAGAAATGCCCAAATGTTTAAATTTCATTTTTTTTTTAGATAAATAGATCTTAAATTGCTTTTTATTTATGTATGTTTATTTCCTATTTAATTTAGATTTAATATTCTAGATCTCTTAGAATTTATTTAGTTAATTTTAATTTTAGAATTTTATTTCAATAATTAGTTTAGGTGATTAATAAGTGGACGAATTGTCAAGTTTTCAAATTTTTAGGGATTGATGGCGATTCCCCACTTAAAAAAATAAAAAAATAAAAAATAAAAAATGATGAACAAAAAAGAAGAAGAAAGGAATATTAGTTGATTTTAATTTTAGAATTTTGTTTTAATAATTATTTTAGGTAATTAATAGGAGGATGAATTGTCGTGCCTCCAAATTTTTAGGGAATGATGACGATTTTCCATCAACAAAAAAATGAAAAATGCTATAAAAAAAAGGATAAAAGAGAGAAAATGTTTAAGGAAGAAAATAAAATAAAATATTAAGAAAAATTAATGAAGCCTCTTATTTGGTAAGGACTATAGTTAGCAAGAAAAAAAATCACTTTAATAATTAGGTAGTTCTTTGACATATTGATTATGTTGAGACTTAAAGTGGATCCGATGTTTGAATTGACATGTTTTTGGACAAAGAGGTCCGACGATTGGTTTAATATGATACCACAAATAAAACTAGAAAACTTAGTTTGGCCGAGAAAAACTTTGGAGTTAAAATTGAAAATACTATGGTACAAATAAAACATCTTAAGAGATAAATATTAAGACTAAGCTAGGCGTGATATCTTTCTTTGAAAATGATGCTTTTAGAGGATCGATATATTTCTAAAAGCGTAACCAATTACTTACTTTATAATCTTTGGACTAATGCTATTTTTATGTTCCTAATTCCTTCAATACTAGGTAGCTACTATCAAAATCAACAATAACTTACATCCTTAGAATTCCTAAATAAATTCAAAAAAGACGTAAAATTCTTAAATAGTTTTTGAGAATCTCGTCCGATGTTATGTAGCAACAATAGAAAAAAAAACTTAGAATTTCGACTATGATTAATGTTGGCAAAAGTAGAACTTTTTTAGGAGATTAATTTTAAGACTAAGCTAGATGTGATACCTTTCTTAAGAAATGACACTTTTGGATGATAGATATCTTTTCAAAAGTATAACCAACTCTTTACCCTTGAATATATGCACTAATGTCCTTCCTTCAATACTAAGTGACGATTTTAAAATCAATAATAACACACATCTCCATAATAAATCATAAATAATTCAAAGCAAAACAATTTTAGAAATTTTTGAGAGCTCCGTCGGATGTCGGGTAGTGATAACGTCCGTCGCTAATATGTCAAAAAATGTATGTCGCTAATCAGTTGCTAATTTGATGGTTTTGACTTTCAAAAAGTCTCGTTCAATTTTTCACTTTTAGCGATGGACTTTTCAGTCATTAATTTGTGAGGGATATTTCTTTTAGAGATAGATATTCGATCGCTAAATCCGGATATTAAAAATAGTAGCGAGATAAGTGTCCGTCGCTAACAAATCGTTACTAATCTATCGCTATTTTATCTCTCGGTTTTAATAGATGCTATTTTGTTGTTATTTGCTTTCTAGTTATTTAGCAACCGAAGTTTATCTATCATTATTTTCTATCGCTATTTTATGGTTTTTTTTGTAGTGTAAACTTGTCGCTCCCGTTTCGAATAGAATTAGTCTTATTTCTAATGTGAAATGGAGATAATTGGAGAAAAAAAAATTGCTATTAGAAGATGGGATTGAATTTGGTCAAATTAACTTGCTTGAAAGCTGTTTTGCTTCAATTTGAATTACAAGTAGCGGATGAAAACGCTATATTTGTGGCAAATATACATGTGATGGAGATAATGATCTAACAAAAACTTCAATTCAGATTGTCTCAAGAAATCAAAATAGAGAAATTTACATAGCGATTCAAAAGAAGACCTTTTTGCATTAATAAAAGTGCAAGGTTTATCTTGTCACGATGACCAACCCTTGAAAATGACACGGAGATATTTATCGTACAAGGCAATAACGGTGTTGATGCTAGTTCTGCTCTAATGCTTGCCACCGATGTTTATTGCATGTGTAAAGTCAATGGAAATTTAGTAAGGACAGCCTACACACACCAAAGATCGATAGATTTTTCTTCTGGTCATGTTTTGGGATTTAAGGACACAGAGACTTCTAGCCTTTACCGTGCCTACTTATCCCATGTTACTCGGTATGACTTGAAATCCAAAGCATTAAATTTTGCAACCTACTAAAATTAATGGTTTAGTGGGTACATTTCACGATACTTGCATGCCCCGTTGGATTAATGGATGTTGCTATTTTCAACCGTTAAATTTAGAAGTTCTGGTCATATATTGTAAAACTCCCACATGCTGCATATGTATATAGATTTCCCCGTCAAAGATATGATCATGTTCCTTCTCCATATCCGTTTTCATGCAGGGAACTAAATGTGAGTTGAATAATGTGAGCGTATGGGGAATGAATAGGAAAAGGTGTTGGTTAGGAGTCAGGACCATGTAAGAGATGCGATCGACCTAGCAAGTAGCAAGTGTTACCATCATCATGGATCCCTCCTTTTAATTTGGACCAAGTCGAAATCCAAGTTCAGAGTTGATTTTTACTGTCAAAAATGGTTGCAACTTGCTGAGCATGAGTCAATGCAGTAAATAAATAGCAATTAAGTACTCGTGATTTCTCCTTCGTGAAGTAGTTTGGTCTTGAAATTAATGTAGAGCTCCACTCTAATTGCACTCCATTATTGACTTGAGTTGAAGTACTTTTTATGAACTGAGATACTAATTAAGAACATTTCGAGTGAAAAAATAATGAAGCCATGTCGACCTCTGGGTTAGATACGTACTAACTAGATAATAACCAGCTGGGCAGAAAACTATTTAATCATCCACTAGCATTTCCTTAACTTCCAAGATAGGGAAATAGGCTTTGAAGTGTTCTCCTTTCAACGATATTCAATTTGTACATTGTACGCCCTAAAATCATCTAATGGCCTAGCTATCGGCCTGATAAAAAATGGATTGGGTTCATATACATCAATTTAAGGTTTAATGACCACATTCTTGTGTCCACTGACATTTTAAAGGTCCATAGGGTCTTACGTGCTGCATTATTTACTAGGATATTTTAATTTCACAATTATATTCATCATCAAGTTCATCCACTTAGTGGGTAGTTAATAATATTATCGGGGTTTCGGTTGTTAATTAGCACATTTTATGAACTACATTTTCAAGACATTCACGTAGATCTATTGTAATTAAGGATTTTCCTGAAATATTTCCAAGTAATTAGCACATGTAGATTGGGTCTATCAAAAATATTCGAACAGGATGGTCTTCCCACATGATATGTAATTGATATATACAAAACTCAGCAGCCTAGAGCCAACCAAGCTAGAAAAGCACCAAAAAAAGACTAAACTAAAAGATTACTTGTTTATTTATAATGACAATGACTTGGTACTAATTTATTATAATTAAGGTTATTTGATAGAAATGATTATATAATTATGACCCAAGTCCACCACCGACAGTAATATTAATTATGGGCAAGTAATTACGCTTTTCAATCAACACCTTGATCATATCCAAATCTTATTTAATATTGCTTCCATTTTTTTGGATACATTTCAGAAGAAATAATGTTCGTGCAGAGTAATATGCAGCTATCTACCGTCCTTTGCATGCCATGCATATCCGCGTGATATTAATGCAGCTAACTAACTTTTTCAACTGTAAAAGCTAAAACGATAGCCCACTAGTCCCATGTCATTACTCCTTTTTATCTCTTGACTCTATCCCTTTGTCACTCCATCTATATATATATACTTGCATAGCTTGCATTTAAACTCATCACACTTACCTCCTCCCTCTCCATAGTCCATACTTCTTGTACTTCACACCCTTTCCCTTTTTTGATCAATATTCCTGATATTGAACTTTTTGATTAATTAATGGAGGGGGTGGTCAAGAAATGGTGGGTGGTGTGTGTGTTTTTTGTAGTATTTTTGAAATCAGTACCATATGGGGCTAGAGCACAACAAGTTCCTTGCTACTTTATTTTTGGGGATTCTTTGGTCGATAATGGCAACAATAATCAACTTACGTCTTTGGCTAAAGCTAATTATTTGCCCTATGGGATTGACTTCCCTCGTGGACCGACCGGAAGGTTTTCCAATGGTAGAACAACCGTCGATGTCATTGGTAAGTATTTCTCACTCTCCCTCTTAATTCTTGTATCAGCAGCACTCTAATTACTTTCCCATGTATGTAAGTTTGACCTTACATTTGGACTTAGACTGTGTTTCCTTTATTCTTAAGAAAAATTTCTCTACCAAGGCAATGCTAGCTAATAGGTTCAACGTTGATAAATAAAAGGAATGAGTGCAGCTAACATAACCTACTTTTCTAACAGCTGAGCAGTTGGGCTTCCGCAACTATATTCCACCTTATGCTACGACAAGGGGCCGAGCTATACTCGGAGGAGTGAATTATGCATCTGCTGCTGCTGGCATTAGAGAAGAAACCGGCCAGCAACTCGTAATTACTAATCAACTGCTCATTACATATCACCAATGTTCATTAAATTTATGCCAATTTTTTTTTTTTTTTTTTTCAGGGAGATCGAATTAGTTTTAGTGGACAAGTACGAAACTACCAAAATACGGTCTCACAAATTGTGAACATACTGGGGGATCAGGGCGCAGCAGCAAATTATCTAAGCAAGTGCATTTTCTCAATTGGGTTAGGCAGCAATGACTACCTTAACAATTATTTCATGCCTCAGTTTTACTCATCTAGCCGGCAATATACCCCAGAGCAGTTTGCTAATGTTCTTATCCAACAATATACTCAACAATTAAGGGTCAGTTTTTTTTTTTTTTTTTTTTTGGTGTGTTATTTCAAGAAACGATGAGCTAATCTTTTGTGGAAGTACTCTAGATATATAATGTTACTTAATTTGGAGCAGATTTTGTACAACTATGGAGCCAGAAAGTTAGTGTTGATTGGAGTGGGTCAAGTAGGCTGCAGCCCAAGTGAATTGGCCCAAAATAGTCCTGATGGGAGAACATGTGTTCAGAGAATTAATTCTGCCAACCAGATTTTCAATAACAAGCTCAGATCTCTTGTTGCTCAATTCAACGGGAATACTCCTGCTGCAAAATTAGTCTACATCAATGCTTATGGAATTTTTCAAGATATACTAAACAGACCTGCGGCTTTTGGTAAATATCCAGCAACATTTTACTTGTTAAATTTTTAGCACTAATTATCTATGGCTGCATATTTCGTATATATTAATAGTTGTTAGTGAAGATTTTCAATAAATAAATGCAAAAGCAAATGGCAATTAGTTAAGAGTTGCTAATAACATTTTGGTGATTCAATTTGCTTTGCATGCCTTGGTTAATTTCAGGTTTTACGGTTACAAATGCTGGATGTTGTGGTGTTGGGAGGAACAACGGACAAATTACATGTCTACCTTTACAAACTCCATGCCGGAACCGAAACCAATTTCTGTTTTGGGATGCATTTCACCCGACTGAGGCTGCAAATACAATTATTGGAAGGAGATCTTACAGTGCACAATCGCCATCGGATGTTTACCCGTATGACATCCGCCGGCTGGCTCAGCTATGAAGATCATGGCATTTCAAAGTTGAAGATATTCCCAAGAAGTTTTCTTTTTTGCTTTATAATGTTCCTTGCTATATTATTGTTAGCGTGCAATAATTGTTCCAAGAAAATTAGTATTTAATTTAAGTGTAAACAAGTTGAGTTTGTCGATCGAGCTTTGTCTACGTACTGAATTTAGAGTATTCCTACAAATTAATTGAGTTGTAATGATGAGTATGAGATTTTGGCTTGAATTAAAATTGTTAAATAACTAGAATATGAGAAGTAAATTAAGAGAATTGAATGGAGACGTCAACGTGATATCATTCCCCACTACAAGTTGCTGCTTTCGTGTTTAAATTTCAGGTATCTAGTTTGGGGCATCGAATTCTCAAAAGCAAACTGCTGGGATTGAGCCTTGGAACTAACCAGGATTGGCTACCATAGGAAGGCATAGGAAGAAAGTATAATTTGTAATCACAAGTAGCCACTAGTGGGAAGACAATATTAAGGTTGAACGTTTAAATTAGCCGGTAAATCAGTCTAGTTTTCGTGTTATTATCTTGAGTTTGAAGAAGATACAACAAATAATAATAATATAATTCAGTGACAGTGACAAGTGATAGTGGTATGTTATAATAATAAATTTAAATCCTAACAGATTAATTTTATTAAGAGTTTTAAATTTGTGAATTAAAAAAAAAATTAGTCTAATGCATCTGAAGGTATTTATAAATGAAATTGACTTAATTAAAGAAGAAGAAGAAGAAAAATCTTTGGCAAATAGAAATCTGGATTTCTAATACGATTGCAGTAAAACTTTTTCATAAAGACAAACAAGAAACGAAAGTTTCAACGTTTATTTCCATTAGGTAGCTATCAGTAAAATCTCTTCATCTTCTTTTAGTTTTTTATTTAAAATGTAAACTACCATTTACCACCCACTCTTAGTGACATATCCATATAGTAGAGAGTGGGGTTAAGTAGTGGAAAAAAATGATATCAACATACTAAAATTTAGGTAATTATAGCAAAATTTTTGTTGTTTACAAAATGACCTCCCAAAACACATGATACAAGAAGTCTTGACGCCACGAGGCAAGGGCCAATTTTGTAATTCTCTATACTGGAACTTGATATGGGAATAGATATTCCTTTGGATATCTATACATTGTAAGTACTAAATGGTGTCCCAAAATGTTAGCTCGCAGTACCTTTTCTTTTTTTATTAAAAGAGAGAAGAATTTTCTTTCTATTTCATGTAATTGAAGACATTCCGACGTCAAAAAACATAAGATCAAAAAACATTAATTTTTAAATATTTGAATTGTACTTGATGTAAATAAATTGTGGTTCTATTAATTAAGAATTTTAAAGTTGTTTTGGTTTTCTATAGTTTATTTATTTATTTACACATATTTGTGAGTTGCATGGTTTTTTATAGAATAAAAAAATTATAATTAATTTGAAGTTTATAATTATTTTTAACATGATAATTAGAAGTTATATACCATATGACCCTATTGGAAAAAAAATTTTCTGGATCGGTCATTGTAATATTAGCCATTATTTTCTCCTATCCAGTCAATCCTACCAGTTTTCACTCTTCCATCTGCAATGTGATAGAAATGACTTTTGGCCTTAATTAGAAGTTCGGTTTAAAATCATAACAGAATGTGGCTGACCCTGAGTTCCTCCTGACGAAACGCCAATTGAGGTTGGCCATAAGAAACCAATGATAGCACTAGTGGCCCGCTAGTCCCATGCCACACTATAACTACCAAATTCTAGCTCTACATTAACCCTTTCCTTTCTCTTCAACTTTATTTATCAAACTTAAAACTTCATTTCTCATTCCAGTTTTCAATTTTCACTTTCATGACGTTGTATGAAACAAAAACATGGTTGGTGATCTTCCTTCTGTTACCACTTTCGTACATGCAGCAATGCGTTCATGGAGCCCAACAAGTGTCTTGCTTTTTCATTTTTGGGGACTCATTGTTTGATAATGGCAACAATAACAACCTCAACACATTGGCTAGGGTCAATTACCCACCATATGGGATAGACTTTTCCAGTGGGCTCACAGGCAGATTTTCCAACGGTGGAAACGTTATTGATTTTATTGGTCTTTGCCCAATTCCCTCTCTCTCTTATGTACACACCTACATTGCACCATGCCGTGCATGCATCATATATAATTTTTTTAATCTCAATTTTATTTATTAATTAACTCAACATCTTCTTATCGCAGCTGAACATTTGGGTTTCGAGCATTACATTCCGCCCTTTGAAACTGCCAAGGGTTCAATCATACTCCAAGGTGTGAATTATGCATCAGGGTCAGCAGGGATTCGTGATGAGACTGGAGAACGTTTGGTAATCTTAGTTAATTAAGTGCAGATAGTTTTATTCAGTGTTTGTATGTACAAATTAACGAATGTTGTAGTATTAGTTATGTTAGGTAGCATGTAGAGGCTAATTATTGAAAAATACTGATCCTTGCAGGGTCAACGTATCAGCTTGAACAATCAATTACAGCATCACCAACAAACCATTTCAGGCATAGTTGACAAACTAAAGAATAAAGACTTGGCTGTCAAACACTTAAACAAGTGCTTATATTCAGTTGGCATGGGCAGTAATGACTACTTAAACAACTATTTCCAGCCGGAATATTACAACACAAGCAAAAGGTATACCCTGAGAGACTATTCCAGCGTTCTTATGGACCAGTACTTTGAGCAATTAATGGTTAGTACGTATAAGATGATTTCTTACTTTTCCTCTTGCTTCATCCACTGATGACTTGCATACCCTATATTGATTTTGTTTGCATTGTTATATATTCAGACTCTTTATAATTACGGAGCAAGGAAAATTGCGGTGTTTGGACTGGGACGACTAGGTTGCGCTCCTCGCGCAATTGAGTTATACAGCACAAATGGCACCGTATCATGCTCATCAAAATTGAACCTTGCATCCAGCCTTTTCAACAGGAGACTTATAAGACTTACCCGTCGACTAAATAAAGACCTAGACGATGCACAATTCACTTATGTAAACGTTTCTGGGATAGGAGAGGGCGATCCTGCTCAACTTGGTACTTCCACTCAACTTAAATATTTCTTGCCCATCATGTTATATAAATTTTGTTACTATATATATATATATATATATATATATAGAGAGAGAGAGAGAGAGAGAGAGAGAGAGAGAGAGAGAGAGAGTTGATTTTTTTTTTTTTCCTAGCTAATTGGTTGAATTTGTGTATTGACACATACAATAAATAGGTTTCAAGGTTGCAACATCGTCATGCTGTAAAGTGAGGGAGGATGGTCAATGTATTCCTGACGAAAAACCTTGCGCTAACAGGAGTGAATATGCATTCTGGGACTCCTTCCATCCAACAGAGGCTGCAAACAGAGTAACAGCAGCAAGAGCATACAGTTCTTATCTTCCTTCTGATTCTGAACCATTTGATATCCATCATTTAGTTGAGCTTGATCTAGGAAATCAAACCAAATCATAAACATCTATTCTTGAGGGTTGTAGCTAGCTTTATAATCTGCACTAAATATGTTAGCTTTCAATGCTCTTTTTTTTAAAAAAAAAAACAAAAATATTAATAACAATAAAAATTCATGATGACTATACCTCCGGATCGGATTTAAATCATCAAGTTTATATTCCTCTATGTTGGGTCCCAAAAAAGTTATTTATTCGAGGATTGGTGAATTCATGATAAATTTATCATTTTTTTTCTGAACTTTATTTTGGGTATTCCTTTATTTTTAGAATATCTTCATTCATTAAAGTAAATAAATGTTTTTGCCAGTGGAAAATTCAATTATGTCATCGAAATTGTGCTTTCTTAGAAAAACTAATAAGCAATTAGATTCTCCACTACAGCGATTCTCGTTTTTTATTTTTCATAAACCAATGTTCCAATTGTTTCCTTTGTCAAAAAACACAATGTTATTATTATTATTTTTTTTAATATTGAGTTGAACATGTTGAAGGATTATCTCAATTTAAAAATTTAAGCTGTTAAATGAGATTTCAAAATATGATTTATAATTTTTTTTTAATTTAAAATTTATACAAACCTATACTATCTATACTACATTGTACTTAATTAATTAAAAAAAGAAATAAAGTTGATAAGATTCGAATTCACGATCATTTGATTATTAAAATTTTGATATCATGTCAAAAGATTATCTTAATCTAAAAATTTAAATTATTAGATGAGAATCCAATATATGATTTATATTATTCTTTAATAGAACGATGAATTTTAATATAGTCATCTTCACATGATGATTGAAATATTTGATACAGAGCTTTCAATTTTTGTTAGTAATCAACAAAGTGGCAAGATACCAAAAAATGTTATCATGTATTCTAACGAAGAGAAAGGTTTTAATAACTATAATACTCAGGCTAAAGTGTCAGGTTTTAGTGTGCCCGAGGTTGATGGAAATTGAAAGATCCAACAAATGTGCCTAAAATAAAACGGTTATAAACAAGAACAAATTATTTGGCTCAAATAAGTGGGATTGCTAATCTTATATATGGAAATAATTATCTTAAAAAAATAAAATAAAGAGATAATTTCGATAATTGAAATCGGATATGTTTAGGTTACTTTGTTTTAGAAAGAGAAAAGAAAAGGTCGCATTGGAGGAACTTTGTTAATCTGATGTAACAAAATAGCAAAATGTCATATGAAGATATACCTAAGAGTGGATACAAGAACAATATCAAAGGTTTAGGGCTAAAGATAGATGTCGGCTGCCTAATAAAAAAATATGTACCTCTACCACTATTTCAAGTCATGCAAACTTAAGCTTTAGTTGTATGAAAGTGAGGATGAGTAACTTCAGTTAAATTAAATTTTATGTAATGATTAAATATTCACAGTATTGTTAAAGTTGTAGATCAATTGATATTAACATTTCTTTTTTTTCAAAAACATTTGAGTTTGAACATTTCTTAAAGAATTCATCGTGTTAGTGGTACTGACCTGAAGACGTGAAGTCATTACAAAATCATTTCCATAATAATGTTGGTTAATTATTTGTAATTTGAAATCAAGAATTTATGTAGGATCACAAACATTTTTTTTTAAATGTAATTTAAAACAGAATAAAATAAAAAAACTAAACAAGATATAAAAATAACACACAGATTTATGTGATTTAGTCAAATTGTCATTAAAGAGAGTAACACTCATACCTTAAAACCTATATTGCTATCTAACATCGGAAAAAACTCTCAAAAAATTTAAGATTTTAAGATTTTTTTTTGAATTATTTATGGGGATATAAGTTACTATTGATTTGAGAGCCGTCACCTAATATTAGAGGAACTAGGAATCTAAAGGTAACACTAGTTCAAGGATTTTAGAATAAGGAGTTGGTTATGCTTTTAGAAAGATATCGATCACTTAAAAATATCATTTTCTAAGAAAGATATCATGTCTAACTTAGTCTTAAAATTTATTTCCCAATGTGTTTTATTTATACCAAATTATTTTACGATTTAAACTTTAAGTTTTTCACTAAGCCAAATTAAGTTTTTTTTTTTAATTTTATTTGTGACATCATATTGAACCGATCATCGGACTCTTTTTTTGAGAGACGAATCGGTTTTGAACCGATTGTCGGACTATTTTTTCAAGGGACGTATTAGTTCAAGCATCAAATTCACTTTATGTCTCGAAATAACCGAGTATGTTGGAGAACTACATAATTAATAAAGTGACTTTTTTGGCTAGCAATAATCCCTAACAACAACCCATATCCGACTCGGTGACCTTTAGATATAAAATCAATGGTCGATTGAGTATAGGTGAAACAAGAAGAAGGGGTTTTGCAAATACCGCTTGATCTTATCAAAAGTAGATTAGCATGAATCATCCTAAGTTTTTGGATTCCATTTTCTTAAAATTCAAAAGATAGATTCTTAGGTCACTCTAAGTTGGGAGATGAATCGAGCTTTGTAGTTCGATTCGGCTTAGGAAACCTTTAACCTCCTTTTCATCTGCTAGGTGCAAGCGTTGCTTGGATGGCTTTAACCGATACCTCCTTAGCCATTCGAATAACTTCCTTAATATTTGAATATGATCTTCTTCTGGTTTTTTTTTTTTTAACGATCATATCATCCATATAAACCTCAATTCCCTTGTGTATCAAGTCATTGAAGAGGGTGACCGGGATCGTTGATAGGTTACCCTCGTGTTTTTGAAATCAAACGGCATGAATTTGTAGCAAAAAGTCCCTTATAGTTTGATGAAAGTGATCTTCTCCATATCTTTCTTAGCCATCTTAATCTAATTATATCCCAAGAACCCATCCATGAAGAAGTAAGTCAATCTTTTTACAACATTATCCACTAGTATGTTAAAATATGGCAATGGAAAATCATCTTTGGAACTAGCTTTGTTCGGATTTCGAAAGTTGACACACATTCTGATCTTTCCATTATTCTTCTTTATTACCATGATTTTTGACACATAAGTTGGGTATTTGATTATGTTCAAAAATTCTACCTTAAACTACTTAATGACTTCTTCTTTGACCTTGTTGAGGATATCTAATGTAACCCCCGTAAAAACCCTTATCCGTAACGCGACGTGTATTAGAATAATTCTATATATATGTATATTAAGAGTAAGTATAATTCTCATTTCATCATGAGAAATTTATGCTTGAAATATGTGATTTATGTTAAATTAAAGTTATTGTGCTTAAGATTAATGGTTATATGCTTGATGCTTGGGATAAATCTATGTATGGATGCCTTGTTGTGATGATTTATGATGTTATGATGTTTTGAAAAATGTCCAAGTATGTGGTGATGGGTTGGATTGAACTTGAACTAAATTTAAGTGAACTAAAACATGTTTAAAGTTGGCTTGGAATGAACTAATAAATTAGTGTTGATAAGGAGTAAATTCTATCTGAATTTTGGGGTGTATGTTCAAGGATTTTAGATCATTTTTAGATGAAACTTAAAGCATAAAAGTTGTTCATCTATGTTTCAACTAACTTCCTTTAAAATTTCTTGGTCATTGGATTCATGTACAAAGAGTTATACCTAATTTAGTATGAATAGCTCTAGACAAACTACTATTAGGCGGATTGCTCCTTAAGTTTCAAAATTTTATAATTAATTGTGTACTTGGTATTTAGGTCTAATTTTTGGATATGTTATAAATAAATATGTCTAGTATCTAAAATAAAATGAGTAAGATTTAATTATGTTCTGAAATTAGAAAATTATTTACTCGATTAGGAGTTGCCCGGTAATAAACCCTAAAACAAAAAAAAATTAGACTTGGACAAAATTAATAGGTTTGGAATAAACTAAATGAGCTTGGACTAAATAAAATAGAATTAAATAGAGTCAATGGACCTAGGATAAAGATAATGGGCTCGGATTAAAGTAAATGGACTTGGACCTTCTTTTAAATATTAATAAAACTAATGAACAATATTAATGAGTGGAGATTGTGTTTCCATTGTGGGTATCGGGATTGGTATGTGACCAATGGATAAATTTCGAGTGTGGGTTGAACCATGAGTATGACATGAGAATGAAGGGTTGGTACTCGAATTTGGTTGAATTTGATTAAATATGTCATCACGTGCATCATGTGCATAGTGGGTGGTTTAAGACAAGTCAATTGATTGAGAAATGATTTATACATCTAGGTTTGATAACCTAATTGGAATAAATGGGTATTAGTAGCCCGAGTACTCTAGGTCGTGTGCTCGCACTATTAGACGATAGATTTTTGCTAATAGTAGTTACAACGAGGGATAATTCCGTTGTAGCGAGAAGATGATCCGAGGATCATCCGGATGAAATCAAGTTGTATGCTTACATCTGTTAGATGATGGATTCTCGCTAACGGTAGTTACAACGAGGGATAATTCCGTTGTAGCAGAAGGTGATCTGCGGACCACCCGGATGATAAATAGAGTAGACTGGCTAATACCTAGGGTACCCGAGATTAAAATTTATGAGTATGGTGGAAAGTCAAAACAACATTGCATATCACGTGCATTACCTTGATTACCGAGCTTCGGCTCACCTCGTTGTTATTTTTTTTATGTCTTGACGGAAAAAGGACAAGTTGGTACGGATGCAACTAGTTCCTCCTAACCGTCTCATGTGAGGCGCAATATATTAGTTTTTATTTTATCTATAAGTTTGGAGTATGGAGTTCGTGAGAAATTAAATATTGCCCGGAATATTTTATTAATGTATTTAATTATGTTATGTAAATTTTATCTTAAGGAGTTATATACGTAATGTACTCGTTAAAGTTCTAAGAATATCATAAGAAAACTACTTAGAGTTTAGGGTATGTCGGCGTAACGTGCTTCATCCAAGTACTCTACTTGGGTAGTAGAAATATGATCAGGGCGGGGCGTTACATCTAATCTCATTCTTCTCAATTTCTACTTTATTAGCTTATGATCGAGCAATAACGGGACCTTGTGTACTATTATGTCAATG